CTGGCACAGGAGACTTTCTGAGAAAGACACAAATAGCATTGATAAATGGGACATCATGAAACTGAAAAGCTTCTGTACTACAAAGAACACCATCATTCAAGCAAAGTTGTATCCACAGAATGGAAAAAAAGATCACTATTGATTATGCATCTGGTAGAGGGTTAGTATCAAGACTACACAAATAATTACATCAAGAAAGCAAATAACCCAATTTTAAAAATGGGATATGGAATTAAACAGAAAAAATTTGAAACACAAATGACTGAGAAACACCTAAAGAAACCTTCAACATCCTTAGCAATGAAGGAAATACAAATGAATACTACTTTTAGATTTCATCTTACCCAAGTCAAAATGACCAAGCTCAATAAAACAAATGACAGCATATGCTAGCTGGGATGTTGGGGAAGGGGAATACCTATCTATTTCTGGCAGAAGTACAAATGTATACATATACTAGCATACATATTATACTATCATATATATATGTGTGTGTGTGTGTGTGTGTGTGTGTGTGTAATCAAAATTAGTGTGGCAATCTCCCCAAAAACTGAAAAGTGGTCTACCTCATAGATCAGTGTATCATTCAAGCCTTATAAGAGAAGCCTCCTCTTGCAGTCGATCGTAATTACAAAGAGACCTACAAATAGACAATTTGCAGACAGTGAGAGTATTAGGAGCACTCTGCTCTAAATGGCATGTCTTTACCAAACTTCTTCCCTAAAGGCTTGTGTGTGTGTGCAGAAGAGGAGGTGGAAGATTGTAAGAGCCAGAGGTGACTCCAGGGAAACTGTCATCTAGACACAGCATGACTGATACACCTATGTATGTGACAACATGCATAGATCGGTGCAAGTTCAAGCCAGACAAAATCCCAGCATTGAGAAGGAGAGGTAGTCAAAAAGTTTCACCCCTAACCAAGAAGCTATTTGCCATTAATACCTCCTGGGGAAGGGAATATTGGTTTTCTTCAATGGTGGTTGCACAAGGGTAGACCCTATGCCCAGGAGTAGCTATCCAACACAAAGTAGACTCTATAGATCTTGTGCGCTTTTTCTTTTGTTTAAGTATGTTTAAGTAAGGTGGGTGTTGGTGGTGCATGCCTTTAATCCCAGCACCTCAGGAGGCAGAGGCAGGCGGATCTCTGTGAGTTCGAGGCCAGCCTGGTCTACAGAGCTAGTTCCAGGACAGCCTCCAAAACAATACAGAGAAACCCTGTCTCGAAAAACCAAAAAAAAAAGTATGCTTAAGTAATTTTTTTATTTAGTTGGGTTTTCTTCATTTTTTTGTGAGAGAGGGAGAGAGCATAAAGTAGGGTGGGTAGGGATGTAGGGATCTTACAGGAGTTGGGGGAGGGAAAGAGTATGGTCATAATATATGAAAAAATAAAAAATGGGGGTGGCAATCATGTCTGTATCAGAAGAATATTATGACAAATAGATGAGAAAATTAACATGAAAAACCCAATAAAAGGCAGATGCAAACTCTGTTTTCAGAAATCTTGGTGAATTCCAGCTTTTCATGTTTAAGTTCCTTAGGTAACACCCAGTTTTATAACAGTTGTGAGTATAAGTTTCAGTTTTCTCTATGAAATTTGCAGTGTTGCCTGGGTGTTGATAAAGCATTTTCAAAAAGAAGAAAAAATGTAGAACAAGACTCCTATCAGGCTCAGGGACTTCCAGGGCTGAATGAATGGCCTACCCATTTAGACCCTCATTTGTTGGTTGAATCCTCTTTACAATATTCTTGCCACGTTGTAGTTTAGGCCACTGCTTCTCAAATGTTCATAGTGGTCAGAAACACCTGAAGACTCGCTGAAGTCCAGACTGCTAAGTCTTAGCCACAGACTTTCTGAACCAGAGGTCCTGATAGATCCCAAGAATTATCATTTCTTACATGTCCCCAAGAATTTTTGCTGAGTGTCTGGGAACCATGCTTGAAGAACATTTGACCTATATAAAACCTACTACATCCAGAGGTAGGGAACTCTCTACCTCCTGAGCCTTCTTAGGCCAGTTTCCAAGAGCCTGACACATGCATACATGGAATTGGAGGAAACATTTTTTTCCGTGTTAGTCTGAGATCTACTTCCCTACCCCTTGAGCCCAGAGCTTCTTGGCCATTCCTCTTTGACAACAGAGTTAAAAATTATTCATCATAGTTTTAACATAAAGCATTTTTATTAGATTTGGTTTGTGAGTCACTATTCTCCCAGCAAAAAGGAAACTGACTATAATTGGCACTCAGAAAATATGGCAAAAACCCTAAGCCATTCTAAGGATAAAATAAAATGATCTATTTCTGGGACAACAATGTCAATCAAGAAAATTCATTTAAGTTGCTCAGTGTGTTTGGGGAAGGGGTTGCACAATCAACTGTCTCCTTCAGGGATTCCTGGAAAAACTACAGCAGCCGCTCTCAGCTTAAAGAGTACAGATTTTAAAATGATGGGCAAGTCAGTGATCTTCCATGGTTTTACCAAAGTCTTATGGACACATGACCAGTCCAGCAGTGAAATGCATATTTTGGCACATGAGTCACTTGCTGAAGAAATAAAAATTTAATGGACATATATCTGAAAGTTCCTAACACTTTGGGGGAGATTTTGAGATTTATTCTAGCATGCCATACAATGAGTTTTATTGGGAACTGCTAAAATACATAATTTTAATAGGAATAGGTAAGCACAAGACGTTGACACCACTGAAAAAATACTGGCCATGCCAAAGTAACCGCCATAAAAGTTCTCAGAATGTTTCCGAAAAGAACCAGTGACTTAATAGGGGTTGGCATTCTATGGAGCTTCAGCCAGGGTCTCATTTTAAGGAAACACATACAGGCTTCCAAAGAAAAGCATGCAGTTACCGTCTCTGAAGGGGTCTATCCTGATTATTTTTATACCTACACGAGGGAGGATCATGACTATTTCACCATAAATACTTGATGAAACCTCCCTAATTAACAATTAGAGTTGCAACAGCCATATTAAATCAGGCGTGGTTTAGGGAAATACTTTGAGGGGAAACGTAGCTCTCTTCTGCACTCAAAAGCCAAGAATCTAAGTACATCCACATCACTTACTAGTGAGGCTGTGCTTTAGATGATGCACCATGTGTGGTTCTGTGACCATGCAAACAGGACTAAGACAGCTGTATCACTGGGAGATGCCGGGGACCTTCATCATCAATGCAGCACACCATTGGCTGAAATCTCATTAGATAACTCTGCATTTTCTCCTTGGAGATGGTTCTGTCTCTGCTACCCATCACTACCATTCTTTCTAAGTTACTTGATTTTTTTTCTTTCTGTATTGAGTATAGGATGCAAACACTGTAGCTTTAAAATGATAACACTTTTTGTGACATTAATAGTTTTGAGCTTCATTTGCATTGTCTGATCTAAAACGGGAGAGCAGCACCTGCCCCCTAGACCATTGTGAAATACAGAATATTAGATACAACACACTCAGCACAGAGTCTGCAGAATATCACCTGTGTCTGCAATGGAGCATGGTTCTGGGGAGATGGCTCACAGGGCAAGGAGCTTCTTGTGCAAGTATGAAGACCCAAGTTTAGATTCTCGAGTTTAGGTGTAAAGCCAGACACAGAAACTTATGCCTATAAGATGAGAGCTGAGATGGCAGGGGAATCCTGGAGAGTCCTGGAGGTCCATGGACCAGTTAGCCTGGTGTACACAGTCACAAAAGGAGACCTAGTTTCTACAAAAGGGTGCGAGACAAGGACTTACGCTCAAAGTTGTCCTTTGATCTTCATATACATGTTGTGGCTCTTATGGGTACACTCACATATTACACACCATAAACACAAGAAAGAGTGCGAGAATTTTGAACCTTGGAATAAGAGTCAGTGAGCAGCATCCCTCATTGTAGGGATAGAACCTTTACCCCAAAGCAAAGGAACACACGGCCCTTTCTGAAAAATGTATGGTTCCAGAGTCACCTTTGACTTTTTTCACTAAGAACCTATAGTAAGCTCTGTCCTGGGAACCATGGATGTCCCATCAGGCCTCTGGAAGGGTGTGTCTACCACAAACAAACTTGGCAGGTGCTACATTAAAAGCTATGAACTGCCCGTTTAACTTAATATAAAACAGCCTTTTTAGTTAGTTTGTTTTGTTTTTCGAGACAGGGTTTCTCTGTATTGCTTTGGAGCCTGTCCTGGCACTCACTCTGTAGACCGGGCTGGCCTCGAACTCACAGAGATCCTCCTGCCTCTGCCTCCCAAGTGCTGGGATTAAAGGCATGCGCCACCAACACCCGACTTCCCACAGCCTCTTTAAACCTCAGTCCAGCCAACCGTACTTTGCTTCCGGATGAGACCTTCAGCGCCCGGTGGGACATTGGTAAGCCTCAGTACACAGGCGTGGAGCTGTTGAACTATGTACCCTTTAAATCCTCGGAGACATTTTGACCTTGCTGCTTGGTGTGGTCCCAGCCTTCAGAATACGGGGTTGAATATAGGGCTCAATGTATTAGATAGGCCAGTCTCTGGATGCTTCTTACCCAAACAGTGACTTCCTGTGGGGGCAGTTTATTCTCATTATCACCAGAAGGAAGACATACAGCACAAGATTTTAGCCTATAGACCTCTGATCCCATGTGTATCTGAGCAACCAAATCTGAAGGGTCTTTCTGGAGAAGCCACAGCCCTGCCTGATGGCCGCACTCGGAAACAGAGGTTGCCCCCGGTTCATTTCTCGTATTGGCCAAACCTGAGCACTGGGCAGGCGCCAGGAACCCCAGGGAAGGTGCTGCTGGCTAGGCTCCCCTGAGAACTTGTGCTCCAAGGGCCGCAGGAGACTGAGTGTGAATGCAGGGCCCCTTTCTTCACAGCAGATTTCATCACGGCCCAGTTCACCCTGTGCTTTAATTCCTCGCCCCCGCCCCTTTGACCCTCTTTCCTTTCAGAAGCCTTTGACCCTCCCCAATGCTTTGGTAAACTTCCCACCGCACCAGCTCTGGATTCACCGTCCTGTGCTGACTTGCCTGGGCAGTGAGGCCACAATCCTTTGCAAACTTTTCTTCCCAGGTCTGCATATGGCGAGCTATGCATCTCCAAAAGTGTTTCGTTTTGTAGGAAAACGAGCTCTTTCGACAGCGCCGGCTCGGGACACCGAGGACTGGCTCCTTGGCCGGCTGCCCCGGTGATAATCTGGAAGCAATCAGTGGAAGAAAAAGATAACACAGCTGTGATTTTCAAGGAGACAGGTCCTGGTTTTTCTACCTGCCAACCACGTTTCCTCTGAGGAGTTTTTCAGCAAATGTTGTAAAAGAGACCTTTTAATCTTGTTTCAAAAGCCTGGAATCCCAAGTCGTTCCAGATCTTGGGTAGAAAACAGGCCAGAAAGACATGCTAGGCTGAGGAGCTCGGAGTCAGTGTGTGTGTGTGTGGGGGGGGGGTACCACCGCAGAGTCGGCATCTTAGTTCTGCCAGTGCTCCAGAGGACTCGGTGAACTTGGCCTCCGGGGCTCTGGCCCACAAGTAGGATATGGTTTGGGATGGGGGCGGAGGGTGTTGCAGAGGTTGAAAAGCATAAATCTGTCAGTGGATGATCTTCAGACATCTGCCTGAAGCCCTTGGAACCAGGCAGATAACCTGCCCATGCCTGGGAAAAACTGAGCAGAATGGTTGCCCCGGAGACTGCTAGGCCAGTAATGATTGAGTAATTGGTTTATTGTTCAAATGTGGAGCCCAGAGGAAAGGAGGAGAGAGAGGAAGGGAAGGGAGAGGAGAGGATGGGAAAAGAGGAGAGCCTATGTTGGGATCTGCAGAGCTTGGCAACTAGTGATCTCTTTCTTTCTCTTTTTTTGGAGGAGCCAATGAAAGCTGCAGAGGCACCCTCCCAGGCCCAGGTAGGGCCTGCTGTCTGGCGGAGCAGCACTCGTCATTCTTGCCATCATCTTGGCTGTAGGTGAGTGGTGAGGCCTGTCAAGTCCCTAGCACGTAACTTCAGAAACGTGCTCAAGGAGTACAGGACCTTTTATCCTTCTTCCTGTGCAACTGGCAGTCACTTCCTGGTTCAAAGCAGGCAATTTTTGCAGCTAGTGCCGCAGCCGACACCACAGTTACATTTAAGATTTGCAAAATTCCCTTGCTGATTAGTGTAGAAAGGCCTGAAGTAGAAGCCAACCAGGTGCCAAGGGTCTCTCCAAGCCTCAGTAGCTTGGTCTTTATAATGGGGGTAGTTGGGGGCTGGGAGAATGGACCAGTAGAACAGAGTGCTTGCTTTGCAAGTGCAAAGACCTGAGTTCAGATTCCAGCAACCGTGGGAAAAGCTGGGCAGCACCACATGCCTGCCTGTGACCACTGTGAGGAGCAGAAACAGGAAGTTACTGAGACTTTCTGGCTGCTGGTGTAGCTCCAGGTTCCTTTGACCCTGCCTCAAGGGAATAAAGCAAAACATCCTGGACAAGGACACCTGATGTCCTCCTCTGCTTGAGCATCCGGCTACACAGCCAGGTGTATACACACATACACAAGCAAACAAATAAGTGTGTGTTTAAGCTGGGCCAGCCTACTCCTCGTTTTTTGCAAGGTTGTTGGAAGAGCGGGTGCCCAGCTATGTCAACAGTAAGCATGACTCTACCTCTCATGAGATGCCAGCTCCTCAGACTGAAATCCCATTGAGGAGCCGTGTCGCTGGCCAGCATACTGAGGGACTTGACCCGTACAGTGATGCTTAGCAGGGATTTGCAAGGGGCCTGGTGTTTGGAAAGGCCCATGCTGTCTCTTCCAAGCAGCATTTTTCTGGTAACAATCTGTTTCCAGCCACCTGGGTCTGTGTTGCAGTTTCTCTCTGTGGCAGTGTAAATTGGTGTCTTATGCAGAAAAGATAGAGAGATGCCGTTACAGCATTCAGATGACTCCATAGTCGTGTGATGTGGAGAAATCCCCATTGCATCAACCCAGAGGGGGCATGAACCAAAGTCACTTTTGAGAGAAACAGACTTTTGACAGTGGCTTCCCATGCGGCAAAGAATGACCAGCTGCCGTTTTGTTCTGTTTTACCTGCTGCCTCCTGTAAACCTCACATTTCCAAACACAAAGTTTCAAGCATCGAAACATACTTGGGTGGGAGGGAAGCGATGGCCTAATACCTATAGCTCTTGGGTTTTCTAAGGAAGCAAGCAGAGTTGATACGCTGCCTGCATGAGTGGAATAGTCCAGGAGCAGAAGGTGGAGGCTGAGAAGTTAGTCCCCCAAAGCATTGGAAGCCTAGCTTGCATTTCACAAGAGTGTAGTTTTTGGCAAGCTTGTTCATTGCTTTTTTTTTTTTTTGTCTCTTCCCCCTTTTTGGTGTTGGGGATGAACCCATGGCTTAGCTCATGCATTGGGTGTTTTCTTTTGATTCCTGGCTTATCTTCCTCCTTTATTGTGGTGTCAGAAGAATTAAGTAATATACACAAATTATTTAGCACAGTGCGTGGCACATTAGTAAGCATTGATAGATGTTTGTGTCAGTACTAACATATCGGGAGTTTTGTATTCTTATGCTGTAGGCGCCACACTAGACTTCACTTCTGCAACAGCATAAGTAGAGGGCCTGGGTCTCTATTTCTTGAGCTTCACAAAGGATTCCTGAATCTAACTGGACACACACACGGCTGATGGCCACTCAATATTGCAAACATTAGTCTCCCATGACATGGCAAAGTCAACCATTAGTAGAGGAAGAATGGATATAGAATTTACTTAAGGTCTTTTAGGTCATTTTTTAAAAGTTTCAAATACATTTCTGGAACTTTCCAGTAATACCATAAGAGTATTTCAAAGATTCGAATATATCCATATATTTCTGGTGAATTGTTTTCCAAACATATGAAGTTATCTAGTTTAAAAACCTGCCAAGCATTCTTAGTATTTATCCCTAGGATATTTTAAAAAATTGGAATGTTTCTGAAATTCCAACCTACCATAGCCTGTGATTCTTTGCTCTGAGTTCTCGGAGATAAGCCCATTGCCTCAGTTTAGGTCACCACGGAGTGACTTTCAATTTGATACATGAATGCTGTACTTTTGATGTAATGAATGTGCAATGTATTGGTCCAAGAACAAGCAGCAATAATGATGCCTCAGCAAACAAGATTCAGATGTTCTGGGAATATTCATGCCAGATAAAAGTCTATTTCAAAATGGAGCAGGTACTATTTGTAAGAGCATATGAAGTTCTAAATCTCAGAATATGCTCACTGTACCCCTTAAAGAGTCTGTAGGTAAAAGTGAAAATGTAGGTATATTTATTTTAGAGAAATATATGGTTACACACCCAAGTTGCCAACCTCACCAACTCTGATCATGTCCCCTTGTTCCAAGAACTCAAAGGCCACACTAAGGAGGCCATGCTGTGGGAGAGCCTGAGAGGTTCAGGACTGTGCTGTTAATCTCCTCAGAGTTTAATACTGGGCTCTTAGGGGAGGCACAAGGCACTATCCTCAACTTGAAGCAGCTCTATTGAAGAGGGGGACTCTTCGATGTTCACCAAAGTCCGTTTGCTAGAGTTTCTGCAGATTGATAACACCTTGAAACCATTATGTGGGGAGGAAAAATGAAAAGTACCAGACATGTTCTCCAAACATCCTCCACTCAACAGATTCCAATTCTTTCCTAACATTCTTATCTGTGACATTTCATCAACGTAAGTGAAGGAAGCCAGCACATCTGCATGTTTAATATGCTAATTCAGTTGGTGAAGAGACATGTGAGTGCATTCCAATCCTCTCTTCTAGTCTCTTTTTGGTCAGGGCCTAGAACATACTTCAAGCCCTGGTCCTTTGCTTGAGAAAGGCAGAGACTATAGAAGAAAGAAAGAAGGAAGTAGTGTCCCTATTAGGTCTGTCATACTGTGCGGTAAAAGAGAAAGTCAATGGGTCAAAGGGCAAGAGGTTCTAACTGCTAGAGTCTTGCTTTATTTGTTAATGCCTATATGCTTTGTTGCTTTAAAAAGAACTATGCACTCATATATACTCACATCGGACTACGCTTGGCCTTCCATGATGGTGAGTTGCAAGGCAGCTTAAGGGAAAAGACAGCAGAATGGAGTCATCCTATGATTCCCAGACTCACTGCAAGATTCCCTTGCTTATTTACTGGCTGAAAGAAAAGAAAAGGCTGGACTTTGAAAGTATTCGTGAAGATGCCATTTCTCATTCTGACTCTGTATGTAACCCCTCCTGTGGCTACTTGGAATTGATGAAAGGGGGTGTGTTTGAACTCTTCTTTCCACACATCTTCAGGTCTACCCCAGTCTCCTCAGGGATTCCCCAAATTTTCCTGCAAGAACAAAGTCGGCGCCATGTAGGTTGGAATGCCCATCCTCAGTGTTTGCTTCTTCATCATCTCCTGGACAACCCTTTCAGGTGTTGACTCCTGTGTTTGGGAGTAGGGTTGATTTATGAAAGTCTCTGGATATAAGAGCTAGGAAAGTGGTTAGCCTGGGTAAATTTTTATTCTTAAGGGGAAAATCCTCTGATAAATGGTTTTAGTGAAAATTCCATTTTTCTTTTTAAGTAATTTTGGGGACAAATGTATGTGGGTATATAATGCATATTGCATTATGTATAATATACATATAATGTGTATGTATGTATGCATGCTTACATGTGTGCGGACCCATGTGTATATGAATATGCATGGAGGTCAGAGGTTGGCATTGAATATCTCCCATGATGACTCTTGAGCCCAGAGTTCACAGATTTAGTTTAGCTAGCTAGAATTTTCCAGAGTTTCCCTGTCTCTACCTCCTAAGTAAGGCATTGCCTGGGGGTTGGAAATTTGAACTCAGGTCCTCAGACTTGCATGGTTGGTGAACACTCTACCCACTGAGCCATGCCCTCAGCCTTCTTTTAGTTTTGACACAAAGCGAAGTTCATGTACTCAGTACAGTGTATAAAGGGTATAAATGCATGATGAAGAAATATTTCCTTGTCAAAGATGAGGAAATTCTATAGCTGGGATTTTAAGGACCCCTGTCAGGGCTCCTTGTCTGGTGGAGCTGGTGGCTACAGGGATGAAAGCCAACCGTTCAGAAAGAAAATCATAAAACAGCACAGGGGTGTAGGAGTCTAACTCCGCCTTCTTCCCCATCGGGCTTCCCTCTCTCTGAGTTACAGCCCTGTCTGTAGCCTGGTGGCCTCTCTACAAATCCGGTCCTTTCCGGATTATAGAAATCCAGAGTGTTCTATATGCATGTTTCAATCCAAACACAGGCCCATGTCCTCAGCCAAGCTAATTAGAGGAGGTGAGTAAGCCGCACCTACTTATAAGGCTTGCTGTCTATTGAAGCAGAGGCATTCTAGGTATCAGAGTGCTCTCTTCCCTCCCCAGTCAGGTCTGTTCAGCATTTCTGTTAGTTATGGGCCACTGAAGCAGACACAATACTTAAAATAAAAAGAAGTTTTATGAGCGAAGGGTGAACATAAGCAACCAAAATTCATTTTCTAAAAGTTCTCCATGGAAACAAAGACCCAAGTTACCAGTCCATGTAGTTGCTACACAATCCTGAGAGGTGGTGTGGGAAGCAGTGATGACCATAGACTCTCCAGAGAAACATAGCTTAGCATCGCCACCCATCACCTAAGCAAGTTACTAACCTGGGTGATCCTTACTCTGCCTTCTGTGTGACGGTAAGGACAGGTGCACCAGTGATCTGAAAAGATGGTGGAGAGAATTAAACAGCCTGGAGCCTGGGAAGCAAAGGGAATGTTGCCCAGCAGTGTGGACCATTTGTTTTGTATCATAAGCATCTTTATCATTGCTGGAATTCATCTTCTTTTCGTTCACCATTCTCCTCTTTACCATTCTCACACACCCTGAATTGGCAGGGCTGGCTCTCTCTCCCTCTCCATCTTTCTGGCTTCTTCCCTTCATGTTTCCATCCTTCCATCCTTTCCTCCTTCCCTATATCTCCTTCTG